ACCCATCGGAACTCGATTTGTGGCGATTACGACCTGTTTATCGTAGGCTAACATATGCACGTTGCTCTGTTGCGTTATTTAAACATAACTATTTTTAATAAAAAAAAAAAAATTATATTCCACGTCTATAATTAACTTTAATACGGCTCCTTTTATTTTCCTTCACGTATTCTATCCGATCTAGCGTTGTCACTCGTGTTCGTAGGTCTCAAGTAATTTTATATGCAAGAGGGCTACAAGAATGTCAACTTTGCTCCTGTGTAGACATTATGTAAGTAGAGACAGTAAGTCAGTTTATTATCTTAGCATAGTCCCGTATTTACAAGTGTATATAATACTTAAAAACCTAATTTTTCGAGTCTAAAAAATTCCATATTAATCTTTGGGAAGGCCTACTCCCTATTTAAAACTTACTCAGGCAGACAACAGTTTGAAAAGGTTCATATACAAGATGATTTTCAAGGCAAGTATATAATAAAAAGAAGTAGATATGTGTTTTAACAAATTAGACAAGTGTTTTAACAAATTAAAATGCAAAGCTATTACTTGTGCATAGCATCGACAATTTTGACGAAATAGTGGTAGAAGAGTTTATGACTATGAAAAATAGGAGATATATATTTTATTTTCAAGAAACGAATGAGTATAGTGTATATAGAATATTACCTATAGTTATTAAGTACTTAGGTTAGGATAAATAAAAAGTATGTTAAATTAGAACAAATATATAACATTTAATTTACGTACCTACTTAATATAAAAAGTTCGGTTTTGTCGGGTACTTACAAACTCCATTGACTAGTTACTACAACAACAATAACAATAACACTAATAATACCAACAACAATAACAAAAGAGAGGGGTGGGTGGCTCAGTGGTAGAGTCTCTGCCTGTGGATCCAAGGGTCCCAGGTTCGAATACCACTGATTTTTTTATTTAATTTAATTATTTAAAATTAATTCTAATGCCTTGGTAGGATTCCCCACTCGACCATTCACTGTTGGGTTCTAATGAACAGTGCTGTTCCTAAAGTGGCGCTGGGAAACAGTAACAAAGCCTACACAGAACACGATGCTAATGACCTTAGCAGCCGATGCCGATAAACAAGAAATATTACCTATCGGATCACGTAAGTTTTGATAAAGTTTATAAATAAAATCTTAAGTGCCTTTCAAAATTAAAAGTAGAGTAGGTCACGTGATGCCACTGCTAAAATGTTTAAAATAACTAAATTTAGACAAATAATTCTTGCAAAATATTTGGAACATATTTTTTCTACACCCACATGGATATTAGCTGTTCTACGCACAGCCTACAAAACAGAAAAGTATGCCTTTGCTTTCAACTGAACGAATGTGTTTTATATCCATTCTACCTAGTAAGATAACGGCAAAAAAAATTAAATCCACCAGTCACAGTTTATTTTTTGGTCCCCGGCTAGTATTATTTTTAAAATTTTAAATAAGTGACAACTCTGTCAAACTAATTGTCACTATATTTTTTTAGCTGTTGAGATTAAATATACATTAAAATTAGTTATTCATGTTTAGAATCGATAAATAATAGCATTTCTATTATTATTTCCTCTATTCACAAATAAACCATAAATTTTAATAAAACTATATGAAATTAATTTAAATACGAGTATTAAAAACTATTATGTGTGGCGTTGGAGCAGTGACTAGGTCATTTGGCTTTTATGCTGAGGTCCCGAGTTCAATTCTAAGTTTATTTTAATGTATAAATTAGTAAAAGTTATAAGCTATTTTTAATATAAAATAATTTTTAATATTTTTAGATTTTCGTTAGTGGGTCGTAGAAAAAATATACTGTAGAATACGAGTGAATTGCCCGTATCGTACTCAGACGATTGAGCACTCCCCTACGGCGTCTTGCTCAAAAGACTTCGTACGATATGGCCATCATATCTACTCTTGTTGCACAAACTACTATATTCAACAAGCCTAGTGTTTTTGTAAGTAATCCTCATTTTACCAACTTACAGTAGATATCTAAAATTAAATTGTACTTATTATCCTTCTCTAGTCAAATAGAAAACTCCATGAATAAACTTTATTCTCATAATTTGAAATTTACCAACAAAACTCGTTATAATATAATTTATTCTGAAGATAAGAGTGATGGCGATTTAGGGATATTTAAAATATTTGACCCTAAATTACCAAGCGGTTTTTGGTGACTTTGGGACGTCGCCAATAGATACACAATCTTTTGTATTCATGTAAATGTAGAGAAAATATTACCTTGAGTACAACCTTATGTAACTGATCCATTACCTTCAAATACCTTACCCAGGACCTACGTAATGCGTAATTCAACGTTACTCTGTTGATTAAATTCCCTTGTTTACCCAACGCAAACAGTGTTCCGTCCCATTCGATGTATATGTAGGAGTAAAATGCCCATAAGAAAAAGTCGTAAACGAGCCGGGTGCTCCCGGTGGCAACCAATGGATGCGTACACGCATTTTTCGGACACCGTTGCCATATCGATTCGAAGTTTTCCTCGTGGAAACAGGTCGGCAAAACGCCGGAAAATATAGAGTAGGGTCATGATAAAATCTTAAGGTAAGGACGTTAGAAATTATTTATCGGGTTTAAGGTCGATTCGAAGTTCCTCCTTGAAATTTAGTGTAAAAATGTCCTATTTTGAACTTACAGGTTACAGGAAAGAAATCTTTAAGTCAGTTACAACAAAATTTTAATTTTAGACCACTTGGTAAATGGGGCGACTAGTTTCGGCCACTGTGAGCCGTCAACGGGCCTAAAAGTGAGGGGTTATACAATATTTTTATAAATACATTATTCTTACCTAATGTTTGACAAATTAAGGGTACTTAGTAGTTAAAGCTTTCAAAATTAACTGCTTGAAATTCCTTTTTTTACCAGAATTTATTCGATGTGGTAATGCAATTTAATAAATATAAATGGTAATTTTTATTGACCAACAATTGTTCCATGGTTATGAAGAGGCGGCAGAAATGAGTGTGAAAGTAAGAAAGTGAAGGAAAATAAAACTTGAAGAGTGAAGAAAGTGTGAAGTAAAGAAAAAAAAAGTAAGATAGAAAAAATAAATTTAAACGAATAAAACTAAAAGAGAGTGTCTGCATAAAATAAAAAATTAAGAGACTGGTCTGCAAAGTGTTATGTTTACAATAAGGGGTGAGAGCATAGGCGCCGAATCCCGCAAGCACCCAGAGCAGTTCTAAACTGGGTGCGGAGCACCCATAGCACAACGTGCACAAAAATTGCCAATAAGTGAAATGAAGAAGCTGTCGTGGCCCAGGTTGGAATAGCGACAGGATGTCTCGATATAGTTATTTACATGTCAAGCTCAGAAAGTGATATTTTACAAGGCGAGCATGCAAGTTTCAGGGCGACGCCAAATGCGGAGCCGTGAAAGAATGCGAGTCCGGTAAATACATTTTCAGGTCAATGGATCGGTCTCCGGATCTAAGCCCGTTAGATTTTTATGGGGCCACTTAAAAACATCAGATCACCCCATAGATGCTTCAAAATGTCCGAGGGCGTTTTAGACAAAATTATTGCATGGAGGCCCAGGGTCAGCATTTCCAGAATTTACTCGAGTAAGCTTTTAAAGAAAATACAAATCATTAAAAGATCATGGCTAGAAAGACAAATAGCGTTTTAAAACCCGGGGGGTCATAATCTATGTAACAATACCTTCAAAATAAGCTAGTATTCGATTCCCTTTTCTATTTAAGATTTTAGGGGTAAGTTTCACCCTCGTTAAAGGGTTTCCGTTCAGGGGGGGGGGAAACTAGCAAAAAATGTTTGCCATTAAAATTAAAAATTGATGAGTCCAAGCGTATTTTCGTAAATGATCTTGGGTGTCCAAAATTGGCTGTTTTGTTTTCAAATGGCCACCCTGTATATATACAATACTCCATTATATGTATATTAATAAATAATTAAAAATTATATTTATGATAGTTAATAAATGTTTTATATTGTGTTTCTACTTATTGCATTGGTACTCTAGCACTGCAGCACCACCCGTGGTGGCTGCACCGAGCATATAGGGTTGCCAGATGCCAAATATCCCGATTTAGATGGGAGCCTCCAGCCTATCCAGCAATAGGACATTTGACAATACCATTTTTTTTTTCAATAAAACTTTTATAAAATCAACGCTTTAAAATAGCTTTTTAAATACTTTTAAGTGAGGTGTGAAGGTGGAGGGGGTGATAGCCTCCATTACCCGCATTGAAGCCTGGCACCCAAAGCAATTTTTGAGTTCCGGCGCCTATGGGTGAGAGAGTGGAATAAAAGGTTAGTTTGATTAACAACTGAAACCAATATGTTAACATAACTTGGTAGGTTGTAAGACCGACATAGTATACTTTTAAGAATAAAAGAATTTTAAAAGAATTAATGAGGTGTGGGGAAGAGAAAGAAGAGTAGTGGACATGGGCGTAGCCAGACTTTCATTCAGGGGGGCAGCATGAGTGCCAGCCTTGACAGCCTTTACAAAGGGACGTGGATTTAAGGTGACCGAGTTTTAAAAAAAATTATTAAAAATAATTAATAATTAAGATTTAAAATAAACTCGGAAATAGAAACTAAACCGAAACCGGTTTTAAGAAAGTGACAAGAAATAAAAGTAGAAATTTTATTTTATTAATGATTTGAAGATGCAATACAAAGTCTATAATAAATTTAACCTTCTTGTTTTCTTTTCAGCGAATTTTTTTAAAGCCTTTTCTCGAAGTTTTGGTCATTCGATACTATTTTTCTGTGTAGACTGATCATGTACAGTCCACTTAATCTTTCATGGGCCATTGTGGACTTCAACCAGGTTTTTACTCTCCTAAGGGTGCTGAACGTCCTCTTAATGGAAGCAGTTGTGCACGAGAGTGCTAATCAAACCATTATTGCCTTCTTAATTGCTTTGTAAAATTCGGTCTTAGCTAAAACGGACACGAAGTCGAGATTAGTGTCTTCTTCATCCTTTAAAGTCTAGAACCGGTGCCACAATTCTAATTCTCGTGTTAAGTTTGTAATATTATAAAAGTCGGCTATTGCTGTTCCGGAAGATTGCAAGATGTCTACAGATAACACTCTAACTTTGGTAGGGTGAAGCGTCTGTAGTTCGATGGCCGGTCCTTGCTTCCTGCTGAAACGCTCCTTCAAAGAATTACAGAAAGAATCTAAGTAGGGTATTAAAATAGATATTTTGAAGTACTGTTCAGGTGTTGACACTAATGGGTTGACACGGAATGACTGTTTGGTTACTAATCGGGGCACACGTATTTCTACATCCAATTCTATGCCAATTGCTTTCATCTCATTCATGATAGCTTCCACTGTCTCCTCCACTTTGTCACGATGTTTACCTACTAATTCCACGATATGTTCGATTTGCTGTGAACATTTAACCAAATACATTGCAACTGCCTGTAACGAATTTACCACAGGCTCTAAGTAACAAGAGTATTTTGCAATCAGACAAAGAAAAAATATAAAAGTGCTCCTCGTTGAAGCAGCATGCAGCTAATCTGCTTGTTTACGGCTTATATTATTTTCTTTAATCGCTATCAGTTGAAGTCCTTTTATAATGGCTACAAAATTTTCATTACACATCCGTAAGCTCTTGTAGCAATCATATTTCGTGCTTCAGGGACCTTATTTAGATCGTTAACAACAAGATTAAGTTTGTTACTGGGACGGTGAAAATACACTCCTTTTGGAAAAATCGCGTAGACCTTTTTGTACCCCATTGTCTTTTCTGGCCATTTTCGAGCAACTGTCATATCCTTGACCGACGCATTTATCGAGTATTTATTGACGTATTAATTTTTTGAAATATTATTTGTCCCGAACACACTAGAGATGGGCAATAAATATCGTGCATTTCAAGTATCAGTGATATTTGTTCCTGTGACATTTTAAATATATGTGATATTAAGCCGTAATTTCGTGACAAAAGTGACAGCAAATCAAATGAGCAAAATTTTTCTACTACATACAAATGAAATAAGGGTAGAAGTACTAATATTCTATCGAATCTAATTATCCTTCTTTCTAGTCGAAACACAACTACTGTTTCAAAAGAAATTATTGAGATATTAGAAAATTCATTGAAATATAAAAAAATACAACTATTGGAAATGACATATGAGAAGTGATATTAAAATATTTTAAAGCTGCCCCCCTGCCCCTCCCTGGCTACGCCCTTGGTAGTGGACAAATATCGAATATTCAACACTTAAAATATTGTAGAGTGCAAAAAGTCCAGAGCACCGTATATACATAGGAAGAAAGGGATGGGGTGTAAGCATGGGCGTCGTTACACAATTCTATAGGGAGGGGCAAAATTTTGAAAAAATTTAGAATGTTTATTTGTTGGAAAACAAAGAAAATGAAAAATAAAAGAGAATTTTCTTATGATGGATTTAACTATTCTGTGACATCATGGCTTACTTCCGGTTTTTCCAGAAATAACAGAAAATCGCAATTTATTTTTTTATTTTTAAATGAAAACCCTTTTTCTTATCGAAAATTTGAATTTCTGGGACATTCTTGTATAAGAAGCGTGTATTGAACATTTTCTGTCAGTAATATATTTGCCAATATAATTTTGACAGCTGACAGAAAATTTTCAACCCATGATTCTTATCCGTAAATGCCCCTAAAATTCAAATTTTCAATAAAAATTAAAAGTAAAATGAGATTTTCTGTCATTTCCGATAAAACAGAAGTAAGTCATGAAGTCACACACCAATTGAATCCAGTATATGAGAATATTTGTCCCAAGTTTTTATTCCAATATCTCAATTAACAACGAAGATAAAAGCGGATGTAATTATTAAACGGTTTGCTAATAATAAAAATGCTTAGATACGTCACTGGTATACGGTAAATGGGTCTCAATGAGAATTTTAAAGCCTAAAAATATTTTATAAAGTTCGTACATTCCTATCCATAAACGAATTAATAGTAACATATTTAGAAAAAATATCCAATATGGCGGCCATTTTGACAGCTGACAGAAAATTGTCAATACACGATTATTATACAAAAATGTTCCAGAAATTTAAATTTACAATAAAAAAGAGGGTTTCCATTTAAAAATAAAAAAATCGATTTTCTGTTATTTCCGGAAAAACCGGAAATAAGCCATGACGTCACAGAACAATTAAATCCATCATAAGAAAGTATTTGTTCTAGTCTTTCAAACAGAACAAAATTATTCCGTTATCTCACTGAATAGCGAAGATAAGGGGAGTGGAACTTTAGTAGTAACCCTAACAATGTCACTGACCTATTTGACAGAACTGATACAAGTTTCTAATAAATAAAATAACCCAACAAAAAAAGACAAAAACCAAAATAAAGAAAAAACAAGAAACTTAAAACGCTTTTTAAAAAACAAACAGAAGCTGTGACATAAAAGAAAAATACGAACAAGAAGACACAGCCATACATAATAATATAAAAAATAAAAATTTATAAAAAAACAAACACATAAAAAGACTTACTCATACACGAAGATGAACACACAAAAAAACATTAGGAAAACGCAAATTTTAAATTTATTTTCTCTACTAAAAACATCGATAACAGAAAACATCATTTATTTTTCAGTTAGCCTATTTTATGAACTAACGGACGATATTTGCGTATACTGACAATACAATTTTTAATAGAGTTCGTGATTAAAAAATATATGTATTAATTTTAATAAAAGTATATGAATTTGTAAAACAAGTGAAAAAATTATTATTATATATTTTTATTACTACAGCTAAAAAAGTAGTACAATCAATAAAAATCAATAATAAAACAGGCAGGTATTTACGAGAAAATGTATGAGATCTTGTCTAAGCCTAATAAGTTGTCATTGAAGAATAGGTTAAATAATGTCAAAATGAAAACATTACCATTATATAATAGCGAGTTATAGCAAGTTCACTTAAGGTCAGTCACTATTAGTGCCGCTAATATTTTGACACCTGAGCATGCGTAGATCACTAACTTTAATAAAGATTGTGCCTGTCCTTAATAAGAGAGTTATTGCAAGTTCACTTAGGGTCAGTTACTATTAGTGCCGCTCTTATTTTGACATCTAAGCATGCGCAGATGTTTATGTTCTAAAACTGACTTTATTAAGGATTGTGCCTGTCCTTAATTGTGGATGTTTAAGGGCAGCAGGTAGTGGCGACTTTATAGCTTTCGGATGCGCTCGTCATTTAAACCTTCTAAAATTATAATTTCTAATGCCTCTTTAATATTAGGTACTATTATATAATTTATTTGACTCTAATTACGATGTCACTATTAGTGGCTGGCTTTATAGAAATTTGCAATATCTCTCTATTAAGGACAGGCACAATCTTTATTAAAGTTAGTGATCTGCGCATGCTCAGATGTCAAAATAAGAGCGGCACTAATAGTGACTGACCTTAAGTGAACTTGCAATAACTCTCTATTAACGTAGAATTAAAACATATTAACAAAAATAATTGGTATATTTGTGATTGTAATTTATATTTTCTTCATTTTTAGTTCGAAAGAACCCATAGAAATTAATGATTAAAACTGGTTTCCTATCAATAAGTCGCAATATTGCATTTCAGCCATATACAATAATCAAAGGCAGAAATCTAATCATTTGCTAAACATTTAAGATTTAAGGGATGTTGAAGAATATCTGTTTATTTAAAACCTTTTCTGATGTCTATTATTTTCAGTATTACTGTTATTATTATAAAAATAAAGGTTTTTTCCCTTCTTATTATACAGCTGTTCATTTATTTACAGTTTTTTTGCTAGTATAATTTGCAACATAGCCACTCCGGTTGTTCATTTGTTCTTAACCTATCTTTTTAGTAAAAAGTAAAATGTATACGTGTATTTGATACGCCAAAATTACAAAATATCGCCCTAAAGTACTCAAATTATCCTCAGCTTGCGCTAGTATCGCTTTTGCTTCCGCTACCATGACTTCACACTGATCAAATAGACCGCTGACATGTTTTAACATGCCTTAGCGTGCTAAACGTTCTTTCAATTAACTCTGTCGTTGGTGGAAGAGCCATAAATAGTTTTTAAACCACTTTGTATGTCTGGATAAAATTCACAATGTTTGGACGCTATATCATTAATTGAGAGCCCATTGTGTGCAGAAAGCTCTTTCGTACTCCAGTTTGGTATTCAGCTTCAAAATTGTCGATTCCAAATTTTTGCACTACTTTCATTTTCTAATTGGTAATGAAAAAAGTATTTTCTTATGTTTTTGGGATGTAACAGGGTTAAGGAAAAACTAACAGAGTCTTCGGAAAAGCGTAATGTAAGCGACGTAAGGGAATCCAGATATGCAATAAATATATTCAACCTATAATATTCTTAAACTATATTAGCCTGAATATTATTATTTCTATGAGATTGTTGTTCGTAATGCATATCTTAAGCGTTGTTGACTAAGTCGTAAAAGCTAGGGGGGCAACTTCCTCCCTTGCTTCCCCCCCCCCCCCCCCCCCAAACAACGCCCATGTGTGGAAGGTTGACACAGTTTTATATCCATTCCTCAATTAGTGAAGCATGAAGAATAATTATTTCCTCATTGCGTCAGTCTATCTGTTGCCGCGATAGTTCAAAAACAGCTTTAGAGAAAAACTTCAAATTTTATATGCAGATAAAGTTCCTTTCTGGTTTAAAACCAGTTATACTTCCAGTCAGTTATATACAGGGTGAGCAGTTTTTTTTAAACTCGGCAGATTTCGATTAAAATTGGTATCTGAGAATTTTAGAAATCAAAGATAACATATAAAGAAGTTTTTTAAAATTCAAAATGGCGTCGAAACAAAAAAGGTCATCCTTGAATGGCAGTAATAGAAAGTGTCCTTTTGGTTTGTGTAACTGGACCATTTTAAAAGCAGCCAATCATTATTGTCTAGTAACGGTGAAAGTGACAAAGAATACCGAGCGGCCGCGAAATGAGATTTCGGGTGGAATCAAGAGGAAGATCGACGGAAAATGAAAAGTGAAAAAGGGTTTTGGTCTGGTGGTTATAATTTTAAATTATTAAAAGTTAAGTGCTTAGGAGTTCCCTGTTTTTACAATTTCTATATGGAGGGAAGTACTGGTTAAAATACTTCCAATAAAAAAAAATAATTTTATTGTTGAATTACGGTTATATGCGCTTGTAACTAACAGATGCGAGAGCTGTCAAGTGGTTTTCTTCGTAGATGTTAGCACTTATACAAGGTGATCCATTAGTGTGAAAAAGTCTAATATCTTCGTCATTATTATAGATACAAAAAATGTATCAACAGAACGGTAGGCAGCGTTAAATTATACAGGGTGTTAGTAAATAAGTGCGACAAACTTCAGGGGGTGATTCAGCATGAAAAAATAATGACAGTTTGCTATATAAACGTATGTCT